ATCGGTTGTGTGTGTGTTTACCCCCCCTTCTACTGATGAGGGGTTGTTTGAGGCAACAACAGCCATGTCTTGGTGTGTTCCACCGACATCTGTAATGTTCTCATTCGCGCCCTCAGATGTAATAGTGATTACATTACTGCATAGTGGTCCTGGTTGGGTTCCCGTGTCAGTGTGTTTCAAAGTTTCTAACAACCTGCGTATTTTCTCTGTCTCTTCCGAGCTCAGAGGTGTAGGGCCTTGTTTCTGGAACTTTTGTGATTTTTTCGCCTCGGTTTGTTTCGTCCGAGGTGGGGGACGGTCAGGTACGTCTTTTGGGGGTTCCTTTACGTACTTTCCCTGAATATATGGGTCCTCTCGGTTCCCATATCTTTGCGTCCTCCGCTCACCCCTTTTACGATAATCACGTTCATCCTCTGAAAGAGGAGCTTTTTTGTCCCAGCGTGCACCTTCATGACACGGTTTGTTAGTTTGAACAGACTGTTTTTTCTCAACTTTCTTAGGAGGAGGTGGCGAAGCACGCCGTCCTTCCAGTTCAAGATAGAGGGGTTTAACCTTTACACCAGGAAACACTTCTATGGGCGTCTTAGCATGAGGACATGCCTCGAACACATTCATAGCACACTGTTTAATCTCACTGATGGATTTTTCTCTGAAATTTGCCATCATTTGTACTGATCGTTTAAAATCAGTGTGGAGATTTTTGCTGAAAACAAATTTGAAACCTTCCTCTTCCTCCATACCGGTTTCATTTCTGTTACCAAAATAAGCTTGGAAGATTCTTTTGTAATAAACTCTTGGATGTTCAGTTTTGTCCTGCGTGACTTTGTCTGCGGCTGGGAAACCAGCAGGTCCCGTGCAGGAGTCGTACTCTCTGATCAAAGCTTCACACAGAAGGTTGTAATCTCTTCTCGTTGCATCAGGTAGACGCTCGATGAAGGTGAACACCTCTCTGTCTGAAGTGAGCCTTATCAGACTGATCTTATCCTCCACCGTAGCATTAGGATAACCTCTCAATCTGAACTCAAGATCTCTGAGGTACGCTTTTGTTCCAGATGAGCCCATCGGTCCAGGTACAAAGCGTTGTACATATTTTGAGAGTTTCTGCAAATCATCCATCGAAGGAGACAGTATCAACGGTCTCACTTGCGTGGTTGGTGGTGCAAATTGGTGTAGGTCTGCCCCTACCACCCGAGATGGGGGTGGGGGGGACAGAATGGGATTAAGAGTAGGAGGTGCAAGTCGGTGCAGGTCTGCCCCTACCACCCGAGATGGGGGTGGGGGTGACAGAATGGGGCTAAGAGTAGGAGGTGCAAGTCGGTACAGGTCTGTCCCTACCACCCGAGATGGGAGTGGGGGTGACAGAATGGGGCTAAGAGTAGGAGGTGCAACAGCATCTTTCTGGGGTGGTTGTGGCTGACCCGGACCCTGACCTTGTTCGTCTCTGAGTCCCAGACCAGCTCGTCCCATGTCAGAAATCTTGTTTGTTGCTGTGGCTAGATTCTCCTCACAAGCCTTCAGGCGCTCATGTGATGTCTGACATTCACTTTGTAAAAACAGACATTGTTGGAGTAATCCCGCCTTTACCAGTTTGCATTCCTCAAGTTGTGCTTTAAGCACATCTTTAGCATCCCTGGCTTCAGATAGTGATGCATCAAGTAACTGTATTTTGCTGTTCATTGAATCAACTTCTGCACGTGCATCTTGCTGTAATTGAAACAACTCTTCATAATGTTTTTTCATGAGGACCTCGTGTTCGCTCTTAAATTGAAGGTAGTGTTCTTCAATTTCCCGAACCAACTCTTTTTCACTGTCTAACCTTAGTGCAAGGTCATCAGCTTTCTCAACAACTGCATAGAATGATTCTTTCAGCAAAATTGTAATATTAGCCAGCTGATCATAACTTGACTTTGTAAATTCTGTAGAGGTCACACATCTTGCAACCTCCATCAGATTGTCCACTAACTCTTTTGGGTTCATGCTGTTCACCTGTATAACATATGGATGTAAGGATTCTGTCAGTAGCTTCAACGCATCCTCTAAACAGCCCTTCATCTCATAAGGATCAAAATCTTTTTCTACCACACCTGTCATGTTCATTCACTGTGTAGCACTTTTTCTGGGTAAAACAATTGCCAGCTTCAGATATTGTACAGGTAAATAATTGTATTCAAATGTCAATGAGTTTCACACTATTTTAGCTTTGGGTTTACACAAAAGTACTGTTATAAGTCAACTTATTCAAATGTGGGTACCTATTTGTAGGTTTTACCCCAATTCATGAATATTCTTAAGTAAATGCTTCTCTGGCAGTGTTACTTAACGTGCTTATTTCTTAACAGATACTAGATTACCAAGCCTCTGAGTGTTTTTTACTCTAAAGCACTGAAGCTTTATAAACCTGCAACTTTTCTAAAAGTCTCACAGCAATCATCAGTTCAAAAACGCTTTTTAAACCGTTTACTCCCATAAATTCGCTATTTAACAGCTACTCATAGAACCAGGTGGTGAACAGAAAAAGAAAAGATGTTATGAGGAGTTTCAGTCTTTCTTCAGAAAACCGTTATACTCCTCTTTCCCAGCAGGTGTTGGTGTTAGCTTTCTACCAGCAGGAGTCTATGACAACTTCCTGACGTTCTGTTGACATCCTGTTGTTAGCCACTTAGCTTAAAATTAGCTTAGGCTAAAACTCGGTAAAATCAACATTTCTGAACGGATTTAAAGCTAAACGTGGCGTTGTTTCAACAAGCACGACTTCTTTGCATGAACATGAGTTTTTGGGACATGTGGCAGCTTTATTTAGTGATTTTAAGCACAGCGAAGGCTTTCGGTGCAACCAAGCTTTACCATTTGACATGGAGGAAGTGGCGTGACACGTCACTCATCCGGTCGTTAGCTGTTAGCTTAAAATTAGCATGGCTAGCGTTGTTCAAAAACATCATTTAATGACGGATTTTAAACTCAAACGTGGCAAAATTTCAGCGATTAGGCCCCGAAGAAACGAAGCAGCGGATCAGAATCAACTTTAAAGCGTTTTTCAACTTTTAAAAAGCAGATTTTAAGCACAGAAAAGGTTTGGTGCAACCGAACTTATTTCCGGGTCACGTGACTGAATCTACCATTGACAGAGCAGCACGGGGGTGGGCTTTACGACCTGACACGTCAGAGGAAGTGACGCAGCCACGTCACACACTTCTCAGCGACTCAGAGCGCTCCACAGCAGCTGAATTCAACCAATCACGCAGCGTTTTTCCAACTAGCATGTTAGTCTTAGCCTGAAATAAGTCCGTCAACTTTTCGTCTTTTAAACTGTCAAAATGCACCATTTTCTGCTAAAAATGTAACGAATCAAGCTCTGAGCTGCACGGAGTCGGCGCCCCGGCATTAAAAACGTCTTCCCAACCATTTAAAACCAACCGTTCGAACTTTTCAGAAACCGAACAGGACCAGAACAGCGTCTGGAACACAGTTTAAACAGAATAAAGCGTTTCCACAGCTCAGCAAACTAGTCACACACCACAGACGTACAATTTCAGCTTTCAAACAGACACGTTGACTCACAATTTCAGCTTTCACAGCACCACTAGCTCAACATTTCTGTTTCAGCTCAACACGCTGCGTTTACTCCAAGCGTCCCAGCTGCGCTGCGTTCCATCACAGCAAAATCTGCACTTTTTCACAGCATAATCTGCAATTTTTCATGCCAACATGATATCAACTTTACACGAATACACAGTCCATTTATGAACGTATACGGGCCACCAGTATGTAGATGAACATATGCATGAGATATATTCATAAATTAAACGGATTC